TTTTTTATTTCTTCTTGTTTAAATTTCTCCATCTCTGTTTCATCTTTCAGTTTTTGTATTATTGTTTTTTTCCTTCTCTTTCTTTAATTTATATGCTAACCACCTCACTGGCTTATTTGCGTTTTCAAAAAAAAATTGCTTTGCAAATTTAAGGTTCTTTGCAGTTTCCTCAGTGAGCAATATATGTATCTGGTGTTGTACCAACTTTATCTTCTCTTTCATTTTTGTATTTGATGGATTTTCTTTCAGCTGTAGTTCATCTGAGGCTAATCTATTTTCCAAAATCTTATATTTTTTCTGTCTTTCTCTTTTTTTGTTTTGATGCAAATCTTATGGCTGCTCCTTTTTAAAAATGCCTTATTTGCCTCCCAAACCATTGTCATTGGTGTTTCTTGCCTCATGTTCTGTCTGAAGAAGAAGTCATGTCTTCTTTTATTTGCTTGATGAACTCCTCATTTTTAAAATGTGAAGTATTGCGCTTCCAATTAAATCTCTTGATTTACTACCTAGTTGTAATGAAATTGGACTGTGGTCTGCAAATGTGTTAGATAAAATATCTATTTACTCCAATTATTTCATTAGTCTTGTTGCGTTCCAACATGCATAAATTCTTGACCACGATTTATGTCTTTTAGAGTAAAAAGTATAGTCTTTTGTCTTTGGGTAACACGTCCTCCAGGCATCTATGATATTTACTTCTTCCGCCAATTGTAGAAAATTTCGTGAGATCGTTCCTCTCTCTCTTTTTTGGTTATTTTATCTGATTTTATGTCTATTACTTTGCCAAAAAAAAAGAGCATTAAAATCTATCACACATTAGTGATCATAATCTTTGTTTGTTAGTTCTAGTTGTAATTGTTTAAAGAAATTATCTTGATTTCCATTTGGAACATAAATATTAATAATTAGCATTTTTGTTGATTCTCTTTGTATTTCCACCATTAATATCCTTCAGTAGTCTGAGACAAAAATTAGTTTTGGTTCCAGTTCTTTCTTTATGTACATAGCCACACCTTTCTTCTTTTTACTTATGTCCGAAGCTGCAAACAGTTTTCTTAACCTTGAACATTCCAGCAGTTTCTGATCTTCTCTTTTCATATGGGTTTCTTGTATGCAAATTACATATTTCTTGTATGCAGATTTCTGCTTCTGCAGTTGTAGAAATGTCTTTTTCTGTTTTTGAGGTGAGTTCAGGCTATTTATATTGACTGAAATGATCTTCATTCATCTTGCTGTTGGTTACTACCTTTCTGTTTTTTCCTTGTCATGCCTCTGGTATGTCTTGGCTCAGCTACTTCCTGTTTTTCTGGCCTAGAGATTTATACAGAGGTGTCAAATGTTTGTTGGAAGTGTGAAGCACAAGAGGGAACAGTTTTACCATATGTGGTGGACTTGTAGAGTAGCGAAACAGTACTGGATAGCAGTACATACTCTGTTACAAAAAATACTGCTTTGTAATGTTCCACTAATCCCAGAATTGTTTTTACTGAATATTATACCAGATAATATAGATAAGACAAAGAACTACCTACTTATCTATATAGTCACTGCAGCCAGAATTCTTTATGCTAAGAATAGGAAGAAATAGGAGATATCGAAACAAGAGGAACTCATTAAGAATATATGGGAAGCAGCAGAAACAGATATTCTGTCAGAAGTGTTGAAAGACTGTCCAATACAAAAGTCAATTGAACGATGGGATTTATTATATAAATAGCTTGAGTCACCAGATAGTGCTTGAATAACAGAGAATTAGACTAAAATGTAACTGTAAGTTGAAACCTGGAGGGCAATCAAATGGTAGAAAGACAAAAAGTCAGCTTGATATCACAACATGAACAGATTGGATGACAATACATTTTGTGTTCTCCTTCCCCCTCTTCCCCCCATATCCCCCTCTACCTTTTGTACTCCTTACCTTATCCCTAGTTGTTTAAAAAATTAAATATTTTTAAAAAAAACAATAACTCTTAAAAATAATACCATGAAGAAATTTATATAAAATGTATTGTAGTATATTTTACTATGTATTTCTTCCTCTTCTTCTTCCTCTTTTTTTTTTTAAAGGATTGGTGCCTACCTAATGTTTCCCTTTTTTTAGCTGCAGTTAAGAGACTAATAACAGAAGGCTGTTACCCCTAGCTGGTCTAAGAACTTGCAGACTCCATTTAGGAAGTTGCTTTAAATCAGAAGGACCTGTACCCTGTGTCTGGCTATGATTTTTGGAATTCTCAATTTCTTCTGCATGCACCTTCAGCTCTAAAGTATGAAGAATTTTGTAGAAGTTTTAATATCTTCATGAAACCTAGCTTCTGTTTGAAAAATTAGTGGTCAATAAAAGTATCACTCACCCTTGTTTTTGAGCTGTGTGCAAGGGCCACATGCCTTTTCCTATTGTGTGTGTGTGTGTGTGTGTGTGTGAGAGAGAGAGAGAGAGAGAATAGGACTGTGGCTTTCTTCCCATGTCCCTTCGTGAACATTGTCCCTCTACCATTAATTGAGGGTAAAGCTTATGCCAGGGGTGGGCAATTAATTTCTATGGGGGGGCACATGAAAAACCTGAACTGTGTTCAGGGGCCAAATCAACTTTACTTAAAAATAAAATGAAACAGTGATGTTATGATTATTTTTATTTTAGACTTGTTAATCTTAACAAATACTTAAGAGGTTTTTTGTGGTATGTTAAAAATAAGCAACTGATCAACTTTAGACAAAAAGCTATAAATGGTTTTGATGTCCAGTGGGCCGGACAGGAGCGGCTTGTGGGCCATATGTGACCCTCAGGTATGCCTTATGCAGTCAAACATAACCAGATATATCTTAAGTTAACTAGATTTTCCAGCCACCTTCAATCTCTGGTTTGAAATATGGCTTTGGGACCAAGCATCATTTTAATTTAACTGTGGTTAAGAAATAAGTAGATGGCTGCAAAGCAGTTTGTGCTTGACAAGCAAGGAAGTAAGTGCTGTGACCAAGTACCAGTTTCTGAACTTCTGTTAAAAGATCCAGTACTGTTATGTCTGTACAGTGGGACCATGGGATTAGTGTCCATGGTGTCACTTATCCACACATGAGCATATTTGCAGTTGGTTCATCAAACCATGCTTTATTGGACCAAATAATAGTGTCTAAGCAATCTCATGGTGTAGTCCTCCCAAATGCGTCAGAGTGCAGATTATGATGAACAAATGTTTGCAAAATAGCATTCAGAACTGTGAAAAACTATATAATCCAGAAGGACAATACCATTTTCTGCATTCTTAAATTAAAATTAAAATAAATTGTGTAGAGCTGGAAAGCTGCACTGTTAAATGCCAACTGTTTAACAGGTGTATATTTACCTACATGTTGAAGGAAAACATCAGTATGCCATCCGACAAGGTTGTGATACTTTACTACAGACATTAGTGGCAATGTAGTTTGTGAAACTTCTATTTACATAGTTTGGCTCGATCAACGTACAGCTGCTAATATCTTTTTCAACCCATTTTCTTTATCTCTACTTCACTTTGTTTCATAAAATAGAAGAATGTTTCATTTAAAAATTATATATCAGCAAGAGATTTATGGATAACAATTCTCTTTTTAGATTGCATACCTAATAACAGCCTTTTATCTGCCAAGCTTGCAAGGCTGTAGTGCTGGCAATGTTATAGGTTCTTAATTAGTAATGCACCACTTAGTCAACTCTGAGTTATAGTGACTCTCCCAGGGTTTTCAAAGTATAAGGCAATCAGAAGTGGTTGACCAGTCCCTTTTTCTCATGTCACTTTGGGACTGTGCAGGTTGCCCAATGTATAGACAGCAAGATTTGTGATCCCATTAGCCATGTGTGCTCCAGGTGATTTTGGTTGGTCCCTACCAGGAGGCATGGTGTAAAAAAAAGTTGATCCCTAGCCAGGACTCCCAAGACAGTGAACTGTGTTTTGTGTCTTGGTTGTGTATTCTCAAATTGCAGTTTATGAAGGAGTGCACAGGCACACAGAATAAAAGTAATTGCAATTCAGTTGTTCTGAATAGTATTTATTAAGAGTCACTGTGGCATGTTGCATGTAGAGTGTTTCATATCATTGTCAGTATCAGCTAAGAGGATTACAGTGAGGCTCATATATTGGAAGTAAGGGCAAAATTAAAATATTTGCAATACAAGTATTGACATCAGATTTGGCACTAATTTAGTAGTATTAAAATGGGAACAAAATCTTGCTAAGAACATGATTATAAGCTAGTTTGCGTAGCCACCATGTGTTCTCACTATGAAGTGGCAGATTGACTAGGACTGAGGAGGCCTGGATTCAAATCCTCATTTGCCCATGGAAATTTAAGGGCAGCAGGGTGGAAATGGTTAAATAGTTCCTTAGATATCTGGCTTACCTTGAAATCCCTATTTATGTCACTATACGTCAATGTAAGTCCAACTTGGCACCACATGACAATACACACAATGGTCATCGTGAGCCATGGAATGTGAAACTCGCGTACCGACACTAACCATAGTTGATTTTAACCATAGTTCAGTTAAAAGGAATAGCTAATTCCTTCTGATCTCCTTGTGGCAACATTAGAGGAAGGAGACATGGCAGGTTGGGGGGCTCATTTCCATTACAACTAATCTTGATTTAATGTGGTATCCAAACTGGGCCACTCTGTAAGCACATTTTGTCATGGCAGGAGGGTGGCATTATTGCCAAAAGCTCTACTTCCTAACCTTGAAATAGTGGGTTAAGTTTAACTTATGGTGTTTTCTGACAGATGCTGGCTTGCCAGCTTTCCTTTGGATTTGACTGGGTTTTTCTGATTTGGGTTTTTTAAGGAAGGGAAAAACATCTAATGCAAATTTCTCACTTTTTAAGCTTAAAACTGGCTAGGACGTTAGTCATTTCTTGTTTTGAATGTTGACAGTCTGTATAATTTTAGTAATGTTTAACCAAGTTATTGTTTTGCAGCATTACTTTGTTCATAAATCCAGATTACTAATACTATTTTTTCTTATTTTATAGCATTTTAAGAAGCAAAAGAGGCTGATTCCTGAAAGGACAGTGTGGAAGTACTTTGTTCAGCTGTGCAGTGCCTTGGAGCATATGCATTCAAGGCGTGTCATGCATCGAGGTAACTCTGTTCCATTTAACTTAACTAATGTAATGTAAATATAGGAAGTGAATGAAAATAGTTGTTTCCAAAGGGAGATTATATGTGTTAATGTAAATCAGGGATGGGCAACTTTAGTGGCTCCTGAGATCCTCCTTGTCCCATAGTGATGGCAAAAAATGTGAAAACAAAAACTGTAGAAAAATAAAACTGGAAGGAGACAGAAGTCCCATTTTCAGTTTTGAAAAATTTTTAATTTTTAAAATGGTGTGCACATATAGTAGTATTCTTCCTTTCTTTGGAGAAAAATCTTTGAAACATTACATTCTCTAGATTGAGGAATATATTAATTTTTACTCAAACACATGCTATTCATAAATCACTTGTTTAAAACATTACGTATTTTGACATATTTCTTAGCATGACTTGGACAAAACAGGTGCATACTTTCACCAGCTCTTGGTCCTTATGCTGTTGGATGGTGCCAGAGCATGCTTCCCTTTTCATCCTGTAGTCCTTGGTGACTGCTGCCTATATTCAAGAGTTCTTTTTTGAATGGAGAAGGGGAATCAAGCTCATTCAGTTGATCTTCACTGGTCAAGAGGTTGTCTTCTCTTTGCATTATCTTCCTAACAGACTATGTAAGTTCATAGTTACTATTGCTGGGGGATGCAAGCCACTGACTTCCCTGTTACTCTCTAATCTTTGGACTCCCCACATATGCTATGTTTCTAAAGTACCAACAGAATATAATGATGTCACATTTCTTCCAACAAGGGACCCAAAGCAGATCACAACATTAAAATTCACAAAATGTAAAAACACAGTAAGTTAAATATTAAAAGATAAATTAAACAATATATGATTTAAAATACAATTAGAAGATTAAAACATGAAAACATAAAAAAGATTAAAATTATCTGCTAAAATGGGGTTCAGGGCTTCAGTTATAATTGTTAAAAGCCTGCCTGAAGAGATGGGTCTCTAGGTTTTTTCAGAAGGAGAAAAGGGGAGGGGCCATCCTGATCTCCCGAGGGAGAGCGTTCCATAGCCTGGGAGTTCCACAGAGAAGGCCCTCTCCCGTGTCCCCATCAGCTGTGCTTGTGCTGGCAATGGGACCAAGAGGAGGGCCTCCACTGCTGATCTTAATTGCTGATAAAGCACATATAAGGAGATATGGTCCTTCAGGTAGCCTGGATCCAACCTGTATATGGCTTTTTAGGTAATGACCAGCACTTTGAACTGGGCCCAGAAATGGACTGGTAGCCAGTGCAGTTCTTGTAACAGGTGTGTTATATGCTCCCTGTAGCCCACCCCTGTCAGTAGTCAGGCTGCAGAGTTTTGCACCAGCTGGAGTTTCTGAACTGTCTTCAAAGGAAGCCCCACATAGAGCATGTTACAGTAATCCAAACAGGATATAACTATTGCATGTGTCACTGTAGCCAGATCTAACATCTCAAGAAATGGGCACAGCTGGCGCACCAACTTCAACTGTGCAAATGCACTCCTGGTCAGTGCTGAAACCTGGACATCCAAGCTTAGGGATGAATTCAGGAATACACCCAAGCTGCGGACTTGAGTTTTCAGGGGGAGTGTAACCCCACCCAGCACAGATAGTATCCCTATTCCCTCATCTGCCTTCCAACTAACCAGGAGCACCTCTGTCTTGTCTGGATTAAGTTTCAGTTTGTTTGCCCTCATCTAGCCCATTAATGATGCCAAGCACTGGTTTAGAGTCAAAACAGCTTCCCTTGAATTAGGTGGAAAGGAGAGATAAAGTTGAGTGTCATCTTCATACTGGTGACATTAAATCCCAAAACTCCAGACCCCAGCGGTTTCATGTAGATGTTAAAATGCATGGGTGACAAAGCAGAACCCTGAGGAACGCCACAGGCCAATGGCCAGGGCATTGAGCAGGAGTCACCCAGCACCATCTTCTGAGTTCTCTCCTCCAGGAAGGACTGGAGCCACAGTAAAACAGTGCCTCTGAGTCCCATCCCAGAGAGACAGCCCAGAAGGATAGCATGGTTGATGGTATTGAAAGCTGCTGAGAGGGCCAGCAGAACCAATAGCGACACACTCCTCCTGTCCAGTTCCTGGAATAGGTCATCCACCAAGGTGACCAAAGCTGTCTCTGTCCCATAGCCAGGCCTGAAACCAGATTGAAATGGATCTAGATAATCCATTTTGTCCAGGAATCCTTGGAGCTGAGAAACCATTACACGCTCCAGTAGCTTGCCCAAAAATGGGATGTTTGAGACTGGCTGGTAGTTGTCCAGTACACTGGGATGGAGGGCTTCTTCAGTAGTTGTCTTATTACTGCCTCCAACCCTGCTGCAAGGGTGCATTTACCACTCCCCGTACCCAATCAGCCATTCTTCTTTTGGCTGCTTTTATGAGCCAGGAAGGGCATGAGTCCAGGACACATGTGGTGGCATTTGCCTCTCCAAGAATCCTGTCCACATTATCAGGTTGCACCATCTGAAAAGTATCCATTAAAACAGGACAAGCCAGGGCCAAAATTACATCCTCTGGGTCTGTATCAATTACAGCATCCATGTCAGAGTGGATCTGAGTGACTTTATCTGCAAAGTGTCATGCAAATTCCTCACAGCAGTTTGTGGAGTGGTCAATATTTTGTTCTTTTGGTGGGGCATGTACCACTCAAAAAAACTCCACTGGATGACTTTGTACAGATGCAATGGCAGCAGCAAAGAACCTTTTCTTTGCTGCAGCCACTACCATGGAATAGGCCTTCAAATGGGCTCTAGCCCATGTTTGGTCAGATTCACTCTGAGTTTTCCGCCATCGTAACTCTAGTCTCTGTCCCACTCGTTTCATCACTGCCAGCTCCCTGTTGACCCAGGGGGCTTGCCTGGCTCTGCTTCGTGGGAAAGGATGCTTTGGAGCAATTGTGCCCACCGTCCTGGCTATTTCCCCATTCCAAAGATCAGCCAGAGTTCAAACAGGATCGCCTGCGGAGGCAACAGGAAACTCCCCAAGAGTCATCAGAAAACCACTTGGATCCCTCAGTCTCCTGGGGTGGATCATCCTAATAGGTCCTCCACCCCTGCAGAGATTAAGAGGTTCCAGTAAGTCTAAACCTCACCTAGTAGTGATCTGTCCATGACAACAGAACTACAGAGAGCTCATCCACACCCAGATCACCATCATCCTGTCCAGAATGAAAAACAAGGTCTAGAGTGTGCCCTGCTATATATGTGTGGGGCCAGAAAACACTTGGGACAGACCCATGGTTGTCATGAAGAACATAAAGCCCTGAGCTGCTCCAAAGAAATTGGTCTCAGCATGGACGTTGAAGTCCCCCAGTACTATCAGCCTAGAGGACTCCAACATCACCTCCAATACCAACTCAGTCAGCTCAGGAAGGGAAACTGTTGAGGGTGGACAATACACCAAAAGAATCCCTATTCTGTCCCGGGCACCCACCTTTAAGTATACACACGCAAACCCAGAAAGCTGTGGGACAAGGCACTTGGTGAGGGGGATGGAATCACAATAGACTACTGCAGCTCCACTTCCCCGCCCCCCTCCGAGGTCTGGCCTGCTGCTGCACAGAAAACCCAGGTGGGCAAAGCTGGGATAGACTAACTCCCCCAGCTTCATCCAGCCAGGCCTCTGTAATACAGGCCAGGTCAGCATGCTCATCCAGGATCAGGTCCGGGATGGCTGATGTTTTCCCTTTTACAGTGGACCCTCGACTTATGGAATTAATCCATATTGGAATGGTGGCCGCAGGTCGAAAAGTCCGTAAGTTGAGGGTCCATTTTCCCATAGGAATGCATTGAAAACAAAGGGCCATTCCAGCATTTAATCCGTGCCGTTTTTCGGCTTCCTGGGCTTCCAAACCCCCTCCGCTGCCCTCTGTCTCCCATCCACAGTGCCCTATGTCTCCTGTCCCCACAGGAGGCAGAGGACACTGTGGACAGGAGACAAAGGGCAGTGGAGGGGGTTTTGAAGCCTGGGAAGCCTAAAGCCAGCAGCATGCATGGAGTGGTTAGAGAGCAGCGGAGGGGGTTTTGAAGCCTGGGAAGCCGGAAGCCGCTCTGCGCCTGCTGCCGGCTTTCAGCTTCCTGGACTTCCAAAGCTGCCCCCACTGCCCTCTGTCTCCCGTCTCTGGTGCCCTCTGCCTCCTGTTCCCACGGACAGGAGGCAGAGGGCACCGTGGACAGGAGACAAAGGACAGCAGAGGGGGGTTTTGAAGCCTGGAAAGCCGGCAGCGGGCGTGGAGCAGGGGTGGCTTTGAATTTCCCACCCTTTCCCTCTGCTTTTCGTAGGTCGAAGCTCCGGCTGCAAGTCGAACCAAAATTTTGCAGCCGGAGCTTTTCATGCCTCAAAATTTTCGTAAGTAGGGACCTTCGTAAGTGGAGGGTCCACTGTACTGACCTGTCATTCAGGAGCAGCATTTTTAACCCAGGGAGATTATTGTCACAGCTACCCAGGCTGTCTGAATTGGGAGACAATTTGGGGGTGACTAGAATCCTGTTCCCTCCCTCTCTCCTACAATGATTCATTTGTCTCCTCTACCCATTGTCTCCCCCTTCCCGGCATAATGCTAATGGCAGCTCCCTGCTCCCCCTCATTGGCCTCCTTATTTGAAAAGATACATCCCTCCCACCCCAGATCAACTGCAACAGGCAGGCAAATAAAAAATTAATCCCTCTAGGCAGGAAAAATGGACCTCACCCTTATTTTTCAGTCCTTAAACCAAACAACCAACACCCCACCAATCTATCCATTTCTTGAGAAGGCTGTGCTTATGTAGGCCCCTTCTCCTCTAGAGCCAGGTGGCTGGTGCTGACCAGGGATGGGAAGCAAGCAGATGCACAGGCCCAGTCCTGCAAGGCAGTAGGTGTCTGGAGCCAAACTCCCACAGGGGAAGCTGGCAGCCAGCTGCGGCGGCAGCAGCAGCAACACTGTCTCTCTCTCTCAGTGCCCTGTGAGACAGCAGATGATGACAACTCCTCAGCAGGCAGGAATGCTGGTCCAGTAGGGCCCTGGGACAGGCTCTGCTTATGCAGGCTCCTTCTCCCTTAGAGCCAGGTGGCCAGTGTTGACCATGCGGTGGGAAGCAGCTGGATGCAAGGACCTAGTCCTGCAGGGCAGTAGGAGTCAGGAACCAAACTCCCACAGGAGAAGCTGGCAGCCGGTGGCAGCAGCAACACTGTCTCTCACCCAGTGCCCTGTGAGACGGCAGATGATGTCTATGACAGATGATTATTAAAAAGTGGTATAAGAAATCAAATACAAGCTCATACAGCCACATCCCTTTATATGAGGCTTGAAGTATAGGAGAGTGTTCCAAATCACTCAGGAAGAGTGTTTTCCCTCCCAAAATGATGAGGAAACAACATTTTCTCTTGTCTTTAACAGCTTGCATAAAGAAGAGATGGGTGGGCGATATGTGCTTTGATAAGCCTTGGAAGCCTGAATTATACCAGAGCAATTAGTGCTTATTAAAATCTCATTGTATACAAGCAAAGGGCCCTGGCTATATATGAAAAATCATGTCAGAAAAGTCAATTTAGGCAAATGCAATAGATCTAACACATTTTGATAATTGCATTTTATTCAGGAATCAAATTCCTTATCAAATCCTGCTGTTCTGCCACTGTAGTACAACATACCAAGGATGTGTTTTAGTTATTGTTGGATCAAAATAAAATGTTCAGATTCTGAACTTAAAAAGTCAAAATATCCCTGTTTTGATTTTTTAAATCACACATCTTTGGTAAATATGCCTCCAAATAATGAAAACTGGACTTTTTAAAGTTTGAAAAATCCAGACTTTTCCCATTACTAACACGGGAGGCTACTCATAGTGAATTTTGGTTAAGAAAGAGAACAAAAAGCAATGAAAAGTTACTGAGTCACCATCTCCAACAATGGCAAAGTGGAAAGAAGAAAGTAGTTCTCTTCATGTAGATTGAGTGACTTTATTTTAAAATAAATAGAAGCCTAGCTGTTTTAGAAACAGACATTTCTCCCTTACTCAGATTCAGTCCAGCCAGTTTTTTGTTGAAAGGCCAAAATTAACAAAGTTGTGGGCAAGGTTCCGATTGATATTTCATAATTCACACCGTTCAAAAAACACTGTCAGTCTGCATCAGACTTCTTCAACTTGGTGCTCTCCAGATGTTTTGAACTTCAGCTCCCACCAGCTCTAGCAAGCATGCCAGTGGTCAGAAATCAGGGGTATTCTACCAGCTTTCCTCAGACTGAAGAAGCTACTTGGATGAGTAGCAGAACATTTCAACATAATAAGAAATAAGTCCAGTTGCCATGACTCAAATTCCAGAAATGTCTTGGTTACTACAAAAGGGGCTGCCTTGGGAAATTGTTTAGAAATTTCAGCAGGTCCAAAATATTGCAGCCAGATTGTTAACTAGGGGTGGTTATAAAGATAACATAATCCCCTTGTTAAAGCGACTTTCTGCCTGCCAATCTGTTTCCAATAAACAAACAAAAATTTAAGAAGGAAAATGTCCAAAGTTCTGTTATTATGACATGAAAAAAAATCACAAACACTATGTTCTGCTCCTTCATTATTTTTATTTATTATTTGTTTTCCTTTCTGCAGATATCAAGCCTGCAAATGTATTCATTACAGCTACCGGAGTAGTAAAACTTGGAGATCTTGGACTGGGAAGATTTTTCAGCTCCAAAACCACAGCTGCACATTCATTAGGTCAGATTTTTATAATGATATATAAGAATTAGTTTCATGAATGCAGAGTGGATGCATGTAAATCTTCTGTTCCACAGGTTTTTTTAATGATAGTCTTCCAAAAATTAAAAAAAAAAAATCATCATAGCATATAGCTTGCACAATGCATTTCATTGTGAAGTTACTTGTTCGCCTTTGGATACTCACACTTTATTCATTTGTCAGCTCTTTGTGATAGACCTTATTGGAATAGTGTCTTTGAGAAGGATTGTTTTTAACGATTAACTGCTGCTTTGAGAAGCATTCCTGTTATATCCATGTGGTTTTGGAGTGCTGTTGTCTTCACTCTTGGTTTTTGGTGGCACATTGCTTTCTCTTCTTCCCTTTCTCTTTTGGCTAACAAGCTAAGAGGCTGATTGCCTATTGCACTATTCCCTCTATGCTTATACTGTATAAGGCATTTATGTTTGGTTCTCCCTCTTATCCTATATAATTTCATTGGAAATTCTTCCTCATTAGAGTGGTAATTTTTTTTTGTGAGGCAAACATGCTGTAGATAATAGGACAAACATGGGTCAACATTTTGTTTTCCTTAGATTAGCATCAATCCGATGTAAAGACTTAGTGTAAGAAGTGAGGAAGAACAGCCATGCGTAGTCAGCACACAAAGCTGTTGGTGTCATCAACCACAGACTTCAATCTTTAATTAAAAGTTTCCCCTCCCTTTCCTCAGGTTCTGAGACTCCCTAGGGAATCCTTCCGACCTGGAGAGGCCTCTGAGATCTTTGAGATAGGCCTCCCATCCCGAGGATCCAAAGGTTGAAAGAGATCCTCAGGGAGCCTCAGAACCTGAGGTAATGGTTGGGAGAACAGGAAAAGATTAAAGTCTGTGGCTGATGATGTCCATAAAGAATCTAGCAGTCAATGCTGTCCAGTGAACAAACGGATATACCTGAAAGGCTTACAAGTGAGAGAATAGTGACATCTCTTCTCTGTTGTGTTTATTTTTAGCATTTGGTGATCAGATGTTTATGCCCTTTCCGATACAAAGACACAAGCATTTCCTTTGTGGTTGTTGTGGCCAATAAATTGTTGATAATAACTTATAGTAGGCAGGCCACAAACATGCTTCACTCCTTTTGAAAATCTTCGCCTCCCTCTAGCTGAAACAAATAAAGGAGCAGTATCAACACTTTATTTGTTGCTGATTGAGGTAGATCTAGGATAATCAGCGGGGTTGCGGGAGATATGGGAACATGATTGGAATATTAAAATTGATGAAGAGAAATGGTCAGGAATGTTTACAAAATTCCCATATAAAGGCATCTCTATCACAGCCAGGGAGATTTCATTGAAAATACTCCAAAAATGGTATTTGACCCCACTTCGACTCACACATATTAACCCTGCGATGTCACCAATGTGTTGGAGAGGCTGTAAGTGTAAGGGCTCTTTTCAACACTTTTGGTGGTATTGCAAAAAGGTAGACCAATTTTGGGAAGAAGTGTTTAATGAAATAAATAAAATTACAAGCCAGTTGATAATTAAATCTCCAGAATTAGCACTTCTTATTCTTTTTCTTAGGGGAAATTAATCCATTTTATACAAAATTTTAATAGGTCATCTTTTGACTACAGCAAGACAGACCATAGCAAAAGGGTTGAAAAACACACAGGGAGTATCAGTAGCAGCATGATACTCAAGAGTATGGCAGGTAGCACTGCAAGAAAAATTAACCACTAAATTGCATATAGTTAAAGGGAGAAAACACTTTGATTCTTTTTCAACTGACTGGCAAACTTTTATTGTTTATATGAATAGAATGGATAATAATGGACTCTTTGATGTATACAGAAATTGCAGTGGTAATATGGTCCACTTAAGACCATAATCCATTCCAGAAGATGGATATAACTCAAAATGGTCGTAAGTCGAAGCACCATTTCGCATAGGAATGCATTGAAATGCAATTAATCCGTTCTGGCCTAAGGGAAAAAAATCACCAAAGGAAAAAAATCACTGCAAGACTCATTGGAAATGCAATTAATCCCTTCTAGCCGAAAAGGGGGGGGAGAAAAGCAATAAAGCATACAAGACCCATTGGTAATGTACAGAAAACAAACAGATTGGAAATGCACAGAGAACAAAGGGGGCAGGTTGGAAATGCGAAGAAAACAAAGGAAAAAGCAAGGGAACATGCAGGATCCATCAGAATTGCGGGACCCCCCCCAAAAAAAAACACTGCCCAAGACCAATTGAAAATGGGAAAAAA